GGAAAAAACCCCACTGCGGGACATACTCCCAATTTTGTTTTCTCATCACAAACGCTTTGTACCTTGAGGTCATCAACGCACATCGATTTTAAAATAGGGTCTCGGAAGGCATGAAAGAAATCTTAGTCTGCGCTAAGATAAGGAAATGGAATTGAACAAAAGAATTATTTTCATAATTTAGTTTTCCACTTTCAAAAGACTCTAGCATTATAGTTGGAACCAGCTAAAAATGGGATGCATTCGTTAGGCAGCCAGTAACAGACAATTAGAGCTGCCAGTGGAACAGTCTAAACCCTCCCAAGATCATCAAAGGGTTGGAGTTGAACAGTTGGGGGGTATTGCTAATAAAAAGAGAGGTGCCTGGAGAAAGCATCCCTCCAGCTTTGGGGTCACCTGAAATGGCAGAAGTAAGTGCATTCCAAAAATCGAGCAGACTTAGACAAGATTCTGGCAAAGAACAGGTCAGCTTGATTACCTCATCCAGAAATTGGGACTATTTCCAGGAACCTGGAAACCTGAGAACCTCTCTGCCTTCGGCAAATGCCCAGTGGCTTGAAGGCTCACAATACAGCTGCAGACCCGCCTGGTGGGCTGGGGGCTAAGTGCAAAAATGGAAGTTCTCATTAACCCATTTCTCTGTGAAATCAGAAAATTTAGGTAAGAGGAGACATGTGCCTTCTCCCTCTGTGGTTTTTGAGAGGACTGTTGTGGCGTCTCTGTTGCTTTATGGGATTTTGCAAATTTGCTCATTGGATACTGGTATCCTCGAGAAAGTTCTAGTTACTGTGATCTGGAGAGAGGAGAGCTTTCACTGACAGTGGGAAAAAGTTGAGTGGGATTTCAGCCACCCCCACCTCTGCCCCATCAAATAGCAGGAATTTGATATAAGAGAAATAGAGTTATGTAGAATCCAGAATCCAAGACAGAATCCAGAAAAATGTATCTCCCATATTCTCTTTTCCTCAGGCTCTCATGGATTGAGAGAAATTTTGCTCTTAGAGGGCAGCAAAAAACAATGTATGTAGATGTCCCAGCCTCATTAAAAAAAAAAAACCTCTGTGTGCTTCCCTCCATTCCCTCTGACATTCCAGCCTGGAGGAGAAGAGTAGCATTGCCTTTCTCCAAAGCCAAAAAAGGAAATGAGTAGCCAGATGGGGAAGCTCTCACCCGAGTATAATACTCTCTGTGCCAGACTAAGGCACAAGCATGAGTGATGAGGGGCAGCCTGAAGCTCAGGCCAAACAAAAGCCAAATGATGTCAAGAAATGGAGCAAGGCCAAGGCTAGAGGGAATGTGCACAGGAGACCCCATTGCCCATCTAAGTGAGTGGGGAGGCTGTCCGTGGATTTCACTTCGACACGTCACCAGTTCTGCTCCTCAAGGAAAGCAAGCGTTAAGACCTCCCCATGAGGTGTGATCATGTGAAACCAGAAATAAATGTTGAAAGTCTTCGTACCTTAATGACCAGAGGAGGATGGGTGGGGACAGCAACAATACGGAAGGAGAACTTGACACGCCCCAGGTCTCCTTATTCTCCTCTGTGTGGCTCAAGATTTATGTTTCTTTTTCTCTCAGCTTGGTTTCTCTCATACGAGGCCAAGTAGTAACTACAGATGGGACTCCTCTGGTTGGAGTGAACGTGTCTTTTGTCAAGTACCCAAAATACGGCTACACCATTACCCGCCAAGATGGCACGTAAGTATCTTTGTGAGCTCTACCTACTCAGGGCAGAGGGTGCAGGCTAAGAGACAGATGGTGCTATTGGCTTGGAACCATGTGACTTCCCCTTGTGGACTGCGATGCCCACCAGGTCAGAGCCCCAGTGAGGATTCCCCCCCGCCAAATATACTTGTTGCTTTATGATATGGTATCCAAAATGAAAAACAAATAGAAGGGCCAGCCTATCTAGGGCTGCCAATAACCATCATTCTCCTTTTTTTCCATGTCAGGCAAGTGCTTTTCTGTGTGTCCATGTGTTGGGGTTGGAGCTGGGGAAGGACAGATTCTAGAAAGAAAAAGGCAAAGTGGCTCTTGGAAACTCACTCCTATTTTAAATCAAAGGCAGTGCAGGGTGACAAGGATCCACATGACATAGTGTCCTGTGGTGAACCCCTTCTGCTTTCATCTGTGGCTTTAGGAGCTGTGTTGTTTTCATGCCTGTTTTGAGGGGGTGGGATGTAATCAGAGAAGTCTAATTAAATACATTTAGCTGTCACCCTGCTGTGTGAAGAACACAACCTTTTCCTATTATCTTCTGATTGGAAACATGCACCCATGCAGCCCCCACCAAGAGGAAAGCTATGTTATTTCCTTAATCCACTGGGCATGGGGTTGAAATTTAAAGAAGAAGAAGGAGAAGAAAAGGAATCTATGGGATGGGGAAATCACTCACCCACCCTGGGCTAAAAAAAACCCCACAAACTATTGCCTTCTATTCCAAATGAAAATGAAGACAGTTACTGTAAATCTGATGCAACACTTTTTTCTATAAAACTGGAGTCTGGAAAATCATGGAGGTAGCATGTGGGTAAGAACTACGGCCTTGCCTTTCTCTGGTGAAGAGTCTGGCCTTACTCTCTAATGTCCTTGGTAGCCTTGCAGGTAATTTCAAAATTGACCAGCCCACAATAACCTTATTCTCATATTCCCACCATTGAAACCCCAAGAAGACATCTGATGATTTCCATCAAAACCTCAGTATTGACAGAGTTTCTGATATCTCCCTCATTCATTTCTCTTTTTTTAAAGATTTATTTATTTACTTATTTATTTATTTTAGATGGGGAGAGAGAGTCGGGGGGAGAGGGGCAGAGGGAGAGGGGAGAAAGAATCCCAAGCAGACTTCCTACTGAGCATGGAGCCCAACGTGGGGCTCCATCACAGGACCCTGAGATCATGACCTGAGCCGAAACCAAGACCTCATGCTGCCTCATCCCTCTCAGCTGCTCCCTGACTAATTACAGCCCAAACCCACTTCCCATATCATCTATCCAACCTCCAGGATTGGTGATTCTTCAGCCTGTTCAGGTTGCAAAGCCCTGGAAGTAACAGGATGTATTTGTGAATGCTCCGAGGAATCACACAATCTGTTGTATAGTAGTGCGTGCCACAGACATTGATGATTTGGTTCTATCATATCAAGACATTTGACTCTCTTCTGTGTCCTGTACAAAACCATCCCCAGCAGGATGCATGCCCAAAAATAAGTCTACAAACAAGTTAATGTAATAAACTGCTGTACTATGCATGCTCTGATATTTACCTTAGTATTCATGTGCTCCTCGCTCATGCGTTTTATGTCTGTTAAAAAACACCAAAAGTAAACAAACAAGAACAGAAGTAAACAACCAAAAGTAAACAAACAAACAAACAAAAACCCACCAAAAGTATTACCCAAATTGGGTGAAGCCAGTGGGTCTGTATATTTTCACTGAGTTTTTACTGTGATCCAGGAACTCTGTTAATTGCTGGGAATTCTGAAGTGAGCAAGAAAGCACCACCATCCTTGAAGCGTTGAGATCCTGGTGGAGGAATAAAACTTAAAACTGGGAGACTTCTCTCAGCTAACCTTCTTTTCTGTTAATTGGGAAAGAACTACCTTTGTTTTACTTGTAATGCCTTTGTCCAGCTCTTGAGGAACAAACAGGAGTAAGGTTTAAGAACAGTTATCAGAAATATTAGAAACGGGGCAAGATGGATGAAGGGTTCAAAAGGTATAAACTTCCAGTTAGAAAATAAACAAATCCTGGGGATGCAATATTCAGCATGGGGACTATAGTTAATAACACTGTATTGCATATTGAAAGTTACCAAGAGAATAAATCTTAAAGGTTTGCCTAACAAATTTGTAACTATGCATAGATAGATGTTAACTAGACTTTTTGTGGCCATTATTTTGTAATATATGAAAATATCAAATCATTACATTGTACTATACCTGAAACTAACATTATATGTCAGTTGTATCTCAAAAGGTAAGGCTCTGTGAAACCAAATACATATCTCATAACAGTCCAGGTAGATGAGAAGAAAGCTTTAATGAAGCGCTCCCATGACTTAGCATTGTGCATTATAACTCTGTTTATTGAACACTTCTGTTAGCCCAGCACAATGCTAAGTGCTTTCCAGCAGGGGCGGGGGAACATTTTCTGTAAAGGGCCAGATAGTAAATATTTTAGGCTTTGCATGCCATATGGTTTCTGTTACAACTACTCAGCTCTGCCTTTGTAGCACGAAATCAGCTGGAGAGGATAAGTAAACAAATCAGTGTGGCCGTACTCCAATAAAACTTTTTTTGCCAAAACAGGTGGTGGGTTGGATTTAGCTGGGGGGAGCCTAGTTTGCAGACCCCTGCTCTGCACTCCTTGCATGTCATTCTCTCAGCCGCACTGGGAAGTTGGTATAATTATTCCCAATTCACAGATGAAGAAACAGACTCAGAGAGGGTTAGTAACTTGCCCACAGCCGCACAACTACTAAGTGATAGAGATTGTGTTCTAACTCAGCCCATCTGCTTCCAAAGCCCACGTTCTTTTCTTACATGCTCTGTCCCTCCCACTGCCCTCAGGGGCAGAGTTCAGAGCCCCTGCCTTGTCTAAAGGTAAGTTCATCCCTCTCAGTGAGCCCACTTACCCCGTCTCCAGGTTTGACCTGATCGCCAACGGGGGTGCCTCCTTGACCCTGCACTTTGAGCGAGCCCCGTTCATGAGCCAGGAGCGCACTGTGTGGTTGCCGTGGAATAGCTTTTACGCCATGGACACCTTGGTGATGAAGACCGAGGAGAACTCCATCCCCAGCTGTGACCTCAGTGGCTTTGTCCGACCAGATCCTATCATCATCTCCTCCCCACTGTCCACCTTCTTCAGTGCGGCCCCAGGGCAGAATCCCATCGTGCCTGAGACCCAGGTAAGAATGGGGGGTACTGGGGTAGGACTCTTCCATACCGCCCTCACCCTGACTGGCTGGCCAGCTTCCCCTCAGCACATCTCACTCTCTGGGTGGGCCAGAAACTAATGTGAAGGGGGAGGGACAAAAAGTAGGAACCACAATAGAATGTATGGTCGCTGGAGAGAAAACTGAATCTCTCCTGGACATTCCAGATGTTTTCAGATAGTTGTTCAAGGCTTTGGCAGTCATCGGAGCTTTTAATAAAATAAAAACAATATACATATGTGCAACCCACCTGCAAATTGCTTTTTATTCCTGTTAGTCACAGAGATACATGATAAGAGGCACTTTAATGATCTACATCAGTGTTAGGACAGAGGGCGTATTACATTATTGCCTCCCTGTTGCTTTATACCAATTGTCACTGGCAGTTGCAGGTTCATATAATTACAGCCTCTTGTGGCCTCCTTACATGCAGCTAGCAATAAAGCCTGCTGTTCTTATTTACATCTTTTGCCAACAGTGTGGTTTTTAAAAAGAAACACAACAGTGACCAGGAATAATTATTAATCCAAAAATCATAACCTCAGCCCCTTCACTCCATGGTGTAGGATGAAGTTTGGTTGTTTTTGGTTCTCTCTCTCTCTCTCTCTCCCTCTCTCAGTCGTGGGAAGTGGTTCTTGCACCCCACATAAGGCATGATGCTTTGGTGAGAGGGGCAACAGACCGGCAACCTCAGGTTTGCAAGCAGCCCACTTGCCCAGAGTTCATTGGTTGCAGTATGTCTACCATGTGTCTCCTCTCCAGGTTCTTCATGAAGAAATTGAGCTCCCTGGTTCCAGTGTGAAGCTTCGCTACCTGAGCTCCAGGACCGCAGGCTATAAGTCTCTGTTGAAGATCACCATGACCCAGTCCACGGTGCCCCTGAACCTTATCAAGGTTCACCTGATGGTAGCTGTAGAGGGGCACCTCTTCCAGAAGTCATTCCAGGCCTCTCCCAACCTAGCCTACACCTTCATCTGGGATAAGACAGATGCATATGGCCAAAGGGTGTATGGACTGTCTGATGCTGTTGGTATGTTTCAGTTTCAACTCCTATTGACTCTTGGATTTAGTCATGCGTTAATTCAATCAATATCGAGTTCCTACTATGAGTTCTACTGGCACTATCCTAGTAGAGAGGAATGCAGTGGTCAGTAAGGAAAACAAGAGTCCTATTTCATGGACCTTCTGTATTAGTGGGGGATCAACATAGTAAACACAGACTGGACAAGAAAATATCAAGCAGTGATAAGTGCTAATATGAAAGTAAAAATAAGTGATATTTACTGGGAAGGAAGAGCAACTGCGGGTGGGCATTCAGGGAAGGCTCCTCGGCAGGTGACACTTCAGCGGGGGTTTGAATGGCAAGAAGGAGCCATGTGAAAATCAGGAACAGAGCATTCTTTTTCTGACAGAAAAGGCAAGAAGAACAAGGTGTGTTTGAAGGACAAAGAGAAGGCCAGGGTGTCTGGAATGTACGGATAAGGAGAACGTTCAAGATAGGGGAAAGAGGTGGAACAGGGGCTAGATCATGTTCCCAGAGAGCACTTGCAAATGGCACAGAATGCACCAGGAGAATCAGAAAACAGAGCTGGAGGGGATGTGAAAGCCACATGCCATGTTTCAGGCTGTGCCTTTGAGGGAATCACACGATTGCCCACTGATGAAAGACTACCGTAAGAGAAGGGTCTGTTGCTTATCAGTCTCTGAAGAATTGTGAGCTGTGGATGAGTATCAACCTACCCAGTATGTTTTCCTATTTGTAGAAAGCTGTGTGGGATTAATTAAAATCCAGAATCCTGTATTTTCTTCACCACTAGGCTTGCAATTTCCAAGAACTAGAGTAAGTTACCAAAATAAGCCAGCAAACTTAGAAATTTTCACTGTAATTGGCAGCCAGTATTTATCAGACACTCCCTTTGTGCAGAGCACTGTGTTAAATCCTTTATCTTGGGTAACCTCTCAATAACCTTATCAAGGAGCACTCTCATATCCCCCATTGTGCAGATGGGACTGGATGGAGAAAGTAAATGAGTTGCCTAAATCCACGTACTTAGCAGGTTACACATGCTCAGGATATGGCCCTAGTAGTCTGCTTCATCAGCAAGTGGAGTTATTAACTTAATAAAGATATCAATAAGTTACTGAAGTAACTAGTGCACTTAATATAAAGTGGCTAATCAAATATTATACCAGTCTTTACCAATATCAAAATATCAAAATAATATCCAACATCAAAAAGTAGTTTGAATATTATAATACACCCCCATGCATCTAGCTTCTGGCATTATCAAGTCATGATGAATACTGGTTTTTCCATTCTTTCATCCACCTCCCTGCTCCTGATATTTTTCTGAAGCAAGTCTCAGATATCATTTTATCCATAATATTTCACACTATATCTCTAAAAAAACACCTCAAAAACATGCCAACAGTTATCACAATTTTTTAAAATGATTATTTCTTAATATCTTCAAGTAGCCCATTATTCAATATTTCAAATGTCTTATGAATGTCATAAAATATTAGTGCTCTGTTTGAATCAGAATCCAAATAAGACCCACCTTTTGGGATTTTGATTTCTCTTAAATTTTTTTGATTTATAGTTTTCCCTTCCATCTCCAGCTCCTTTTTTTTAAGTTCTATATTTTATTTTGTACCAACTGCATTGTTTGCTTGTAGAATTTCCTGTAGTCTAGTTTGTTTTCTGATTGCATCCCTGTGGCTGTTTAACATATTGCTTTGTTCTATATCTCTTGTAAACTCAGAGTGGAATCTTGAGGCTTTCTAAGGTTCAGGTTTGATTTTTTAATCTATATCAACTTTATTTTTTTATTGAGGTATAATTGACAGGCAACATTATATTAGTTTCAGGTATACAACAGGATTACATATTTATATATATTGTGCAGTGATCATAACACATCTAATTAACATTCATCACACACAGTTACAAATATTTTTTCTTGTGACGAGAACTCTTAAGATCTACTCTCTTAGCAACTTACAATATGCAATACAGTATCATTAACTGTAGTCACTATGCCATATATTGTTTCCCCAAGACTTGTTTATTTTATAACTGGAAGTTTTTACCTCTGACTCCCTTCACCCACTTCATTCACCTCCCACCCCCTGCCTCTGGCAACAAACCAATCTGTCTCTGTATCCATGAGCTTTGTTTTATTTTTTAAAGATTCTACATAGAAGTGAAATCATACAGTATTTGTCTTTCTCTAACTTACATACTTAACATAATGCCTTCAAGTTCCATCCATGTTGTCACAAATGGCAAAATTTCATTTTTTATGGCTGAATAATATTATACACACACACACACACACACACACACACACACACATACACATCTTCTTTATCCATTCAGCGGTTAATGGGCACTTAGGTTGTTTCCATATCTTGGTTATTGTAAATAATGCTGCAATGAACATGGGGTGCGGGTACCTTTTCGAGTTTGCGTTTTCATTTTCTTTGGACGGATAACTAAAGTAGAATTTTTGGGTCATATGGTAATTCTATTTGTAATTTTTTTTTTGAGGAACCTCCATACTGTGTTACATAGTGGCTGCATCAATTTACATTCCCACCAAAAGTGCATGAGGCTTCCCTTTACTCCACATCTCTTCCAGTATTTGTAATTTCTTTTGATAGTAGCCATTCTAATAAATATGAGGTGATATCTCATTGTGGTTTTGATTTGCATTTTCCTGATGATGAGTGATGTTGGGCATCTTTTCATGAACCTATTGGCCTTCTGTATGTCTTCTTTGGAAAAATGTCTATTCAGATCCTCTTCCCATTTTTTAATTGGGTTGTTTGCCTTTTTGCTACCAAGTTGTACGAGTTCTTTATATGTTTTAGATATTAACCCCTTAGCAGATACAGGATTTGAAACTATTTTTTCCATTCAGTAGGTTGCCTTTTCATTTTGTTGATGGTTTCCTTTGTTGCACAGGAGATTTTTAGTTTGATACAGTCCCACTTATTTATTTTTGCTTTTGTTGCCTGTGCTTTCGGTGTCAAATCAAAAAATCACTGCTAAGACCGATATCAAGGGGGTTACCAACTATGTTTTCTTCTAGGAGTTTTATGGTTCAGGTCTTACATTCAAGTCTTTAATCCATTTTGTGTTAATTTTTGTGTATGATGTAAGATAGTGGTCCAGGTTCATTCTTCTTCATGTGGCTGTCCAGTTTTCCCAACACCATTTATTAAGGGGACTGTCTTTTCCCCATGGTATATTCTTGACTCCTTTGTTATAAATTATCAACCATATATGTATGGGTTTATTTCTGGGCTGTCTATTTTGTTCTACTGATCTGTATGTCTGTTTTTATGCCCATCCCATACTGTTTTGATTACTATAGCTTTGTAATATAGTTTGAAATCAGGGAGTGTAATGCCTCTAGCTTTGTTCTTTCTTAAGATTGCTTTGGCTACTTGGGGTCTTTTGCAGTTTCAGACACATTTTAAGATTGTTTGTTCATTTTTGTGTTTCTATGCTGTGCCATTGGAATTTTGTTAGGGATTGCATTGAGTCCATAGATTGTTTTGGGTAGTGTGAACATTTTAATGATGGTAATAATTCTAATCCATGAACACAGAATATCTTTCCATTTATTTGTGTCTTCTTCAATTTCTGCCATCAATGTCTTACAGTTTTTAGCATATAGGTCCTTCACCTCTTTAGTTAAATTTATTCCTAGGTATCTTATTTTCTGATTTTGTTTTAAGCAGGACAGCTGGATAGGTGGTACTGTCATCTTCCATCAGGAGGCACCTAATGTCATCTTGATTATCCTTTTGTGATTTCAGTGGCCATTGATTCTCGTTGCCTGGATCCATTAGGTCATTAGGGATTGCAAAGTCATATTTTAATTTTGTCATTGCTTTTCCATTTATTCGTGGGAATACTTTTATATAGAGATATTTTCTCATTAACTACTTGGTTATTTGAGGTATAGTTCAAATAAGAAAGAAGGGACAAATGCCCAATTATTTCCCTTTATTTACTATTTTCAGTATAGTAAGTTGGTCCTCTAACATCCTCTAATGGTGGCAAATTAATTTTCTAATACCATTATGAACTCATAGAATAAAATGTATCTTATATGTTTCAATCCATTGAAGTTATTATCTCTACTAATGGTCAAATTATCCCACTTTTGGTCAGTGGAACACTCTTCAGGCTGACTCCCAGATTCTTTTGACATAACCTTAGTAGATTGTAATTTCTTCCTTGCTATCTGGTATGATAAAGTGGCCTAGTCTCATCTTAGACATTTCTTGCTCCAGCCATTTCTTCAAGGGGCCCTGCCTGATTTCCTTTTAATGAGAAATAATATTTCAAGGCCACAAGCCAGGCACTAGCAAATCTCTTTGCTACTGAGTTGGTTGTTGTTTCTTGGAATTTTCAGGAGACAAGTTAGGAAATATATGTGGGTTATTGTTGGGTTTTTTTAATAAAATGTATCTTCCATTTATATTGATGCTCCTATACCTCAGGATTTAAAAGAAGCTGTGGAGAATCCTCAAAGGTGGTACACCTAGTTAAGAATGTAATGTAGTATGAATACACATAATAACAACACCTCATATTTCTAAAGCAATGCTGCAATTAAAAATGTATGGCATCTTGGCATTTTGTTTCATTTATCCTTACCACATCTCTCTGAGAAATTGAGGCTTCACTTACTCTGTGTTACACATGGGGAAACAGAGCCACGAGAAGTGTGAGCTAGAGCAGAGTTAGAACTGAAGTCCTTCATCTCCCACCTCCCTCTCCCATTTGTCCATGTGGCAAATGCAGGATTTTTACAGTCTCTGGATTCTGTTCCCCACTGAATTGTCACATAATTGGCAGGCTTTGTCCCCATGCCTGCCTCGTCTGGCACTCTCTGGAATCCTGAGTGATCATATAAAGAGCCTTAACTTACACAAGCTGTTGCCTCCAGAATCTCCTTATAAATGAGCCACTCTGCTTCCATAGGCCTTCCTCCTTGTGAGTGAAAATAAATAACACTAAGTATAATAAATGCATGCCATGAACAGCAGGCTGAGAGAAACAGTCTCCTGTCCATCTTTAAAGGAGAGTTGTATTTCATTTTTAAATGATTCTTCCCCTCCTTCCACGTCACTAGGGTCATTTTTGAAAGCCAGTTGTTCATTGGAAAAGTCTTTCTATCCCCACAGAGTACTACTGTGTAAAGTTTCAAGGCTGAATTCAGCTTGAAATCTGAATTTAATATTGTGTGGAATCACAAGGAGAAAAGCAATCAACCCGCCTCCTTGAGTGAGTTTCTGGAAAGGAATCTGTATTACCATGAACATGTGTTTCTCATTCCAGCTGGAAAGCTTGAGAGTAATCAAGGAAACTCTTCTCCACTCTGCCCCACCCACTTTTATCTTTCAGTGTCTGTTGGGTTTGAATACGAGACCTGTCCCAGTCTAATTCTGTGGGAGAAAAGGACAGCCCTCCTTCAGGGATTTGAGCTGGACCCTTCCAACCTCGGTGGCTGGTCTCTGGACAAACATCACATCCTCAATGTTAAAAGTGGTATGTGGGCACATTTTTTTTCACAAATACAGCCCGGTCTCTCCTCCAGAACCCTCTCTGCAGCCTTGACATTTAAGTGGTAGACTCTCTTTTTCCCTCAGCATTTTTCATTGAATGTCCAATATACTCATAGGTTTTTCCACCTTCTCCTTTTATTTTTCTTTAAGATTTATTTATTTATTTGAGAGAGAGAGCATGCTCAAAGCAGAGGGAGAGGGAAAGAAAGAGAATCTCAAGCAGACTCCACACTGAGCGGGGAGCCCGACATGGGGCTCAGTCTCACAACCCTGAGATCATGGCCTGAGCCAAAATCAAGAGTCAGATGCTTAACCAACTGACTGAGCCATCCATGCTACCCTCTCTACCTTCTCCTTTTAAATGTCAAAGAATGTTGGGCTGTTTTTCCCCGACCATCTGCCTTAGTGTACCTCACAATTCTTATTCAGTTACCCCTACAAACAATATCTTAGCCTTGGGGGTCAGTGCCCCATTACAGCTCTCTCAGCATCATGAGGTAATAGGGGAGTTCCCCAAAGGTCAAAGTCCTACTGTTTCTCTTCTCTCTACCACTGCCCCTCACCCTCTGTAAGCCGATAGATGTATCCTCCCTGGAAGGCTTCAGTAACCACCCCCATTTCCTGCCTCCCAGGAATCCTACACAAGGGCACTGGGGAGAACCAGTTCCTGACCCAGCAGCCTGCCATCATCACCAGCATCATGGGCAATGGCCGCCGCCGAAGCATTTCCTGTCCCAGTTGCAATGGCCTTGCCGAAGGCAACAAGCTGTTGGCCCCAGTAGCTCTGGCTGTTGGAATTGATGGGAGCCTCTTCGTTGGAGATTTCAATTACATCCGGCGCATCTTTCCCTCTCGAAATGTGACCAGCATTTTGGAGTTACGGTAAGTGACCACACAGAAAACCTTCCGTTGCTCTCTTGCTCCTGTTGCTACAAAGCTTCACTGGGTAAATGATGGCTACATTGGGGTTCTCCAGAGAATATATATTCCATATAATGGGATGAGCTTCGAAACTTAGGTGCAGAATCAAATAAGGGTTAGGAAATGCTTTTTGAATCTATAAACCACCACACACATATTTGATACAATTGTTAACACCTGACTTAAAAACAAGGGTGAAAGCTTTAGGTCATGGTGCTTGAGATGGGACCTGAGTAGCTGGGTTTTGTAAAACCTCCACACGAGAATCTGATTCATACCAATGAAAGAACCAGGACTTCAAGCTATGCGTCTGTTTCAGTGACGCTTCTTAAAAATACAGATTCCTGGAGCCCACCCCAGAGGCACTGATTCAGTAAGTTTAGAGAAGAGCCAAGGCATCTTTTATCTTTGATAAGCTCTATAGAATATGGTGATGTACATCAGAGTTTGAGAACCACGGGTGTTCATTTGCTAATTCACATGTTTATATTGAGTGCCTCTCTGCACTACCGTTCCATAAATTCTCTGGATATTTGCACGGGTCTGACTTAGAATTACTGCATAGGCCTTGCTAGGTAACTTCTGGCCACACCTGGTAGATTCCTCCTGGTCATTGCTTGCTACTAAATCTGAAGTCCAGGCTCCTCTGTGCTGGACAAAAGTTCTTGTAAACTGTCTTCCCGGGAAAGTTGGCTCCAGGCCCTCAAACCTAGATCTGTAAGTGGAGGAAGAAATGAAGTCTATAAATAAGGGATCAAATTCTTGATGACTGTTTAATATGTATCAGGGACTATCTGCCAAGGGAGGAGGGGAGGGGTGGGACAAGGAAAGCCCTAGTTGGACTTGTGGTCTGATGGGGAACTTAATTGTGTGGACAAATTAAAAAATAATAATAATGCTTTAAAGAAAACAGGGTAAAAAATTAAGGACTGTGGTGGGGGTTGGGAGGGATAAGGAAGCTACATAAGATAAAGTAGTCACAAAAGCATTTCAGATTATGTGACATTTGAGATGGGACCTGAACGATGAGGTCAGCCATACAAAGATCCGGCGAAAAGTATTCCAGGCAGAGAGAAGTTGTGCAAAAGCCCCAATATCAGCAAATAATCTGGTTTATTTAAGGGACTGATAGAAGTGCAATAGGGCTTGGAGTGTAGTGAGCTCAGGAGAAAGTGTCTCTGAGGACGTCAGAGAGGTCAGTGGGGGACCAATGCTTCAGCGTCTTACTGACCTTGTTGACAAGTGTAAATTATATTCTTGTTACAATGCACGGCTATTAGAGGTTGAAGTTGGAAGTGGAGTAGAGTTGACATGATCTAATTTGCCCTTTTTAAAGGTTATTTTGGCCACTGTGTTAATGAATGGACTATAAGGTGCAAGCATGAAGGCAGAGAAGCCCATAGGGAAGTTGTAACAGTTGACCAGGATTTGGGTGATGGTGGTGGGTAGGAGGGGAGATAAGGGAGTATTCCAAATGGGAGATATTTTCAAAGCAAATGTGATGGGAATTGTTGATGGATCAGGTACAAGAAATGGAGAAAAGGAAAAAAAAAAAAAAGAATCAAGGGTGATGACTAGGATTTTTGACCTGAGCAACTGAGTGGGTGGTGGTGCCTTTTGAAGTAGCCTCAGCTACCACGTGAAGGACTTAGAGGAAGCCATAGGTTGTACTTGCCTTTTTTTTATTTTATTTTATTTTATTTTATTTTATTATGTTATGTTAGTCACCATGCACTTGCCTTTTAGTGGCCCCTTCTAGGAGAGAGATCAGTGAATGGAGCATCAGCAAGTGCTGCTGAGTATTCTTGGGAGCTGAGACTGTGCCAAGCACTGGGAGGGATTAAAGGAGAGAGAGAGAAAAAAAACCCCAGCTCCACCTCAAGAAGGTTACAGCCTCAGTGATCCAGTGAGCATTTACTGAGCATGATGTGAGCCAAGCATGTGCTGGGCTCTACAGGTCTAGAAGGGGATGAAACACAGGCTCAGAGAGCTCCTAGGTGAGGGTGACAGATGGGCACCTGGCAAGGAGAGACAATTCAGGCTGAGTGTTCTAGAAGAACCAACAACCCATCATGGAAACAAAGAAGGGGAGGCCATGGGGTGGACTAGGCTATAATAATCAAAAGATGAACAATGAGAGGAAGAAGGAGATAAAATAGAAAAGGCTAGATAATCCTCAAGCTGTCAAACTGACCATCCAACAAACCACATCTCCTAGAGCTCCCCAACTAGGTAGGTCCCCTTCCCAAGACATTGATTTCCCTTTTTGTCCTAGGAGAGTCCTCTTCTCAGGAATCGTGTGGGCAGTGGGGAACTATGGAAGGAGGCAGGGAAGGGGGTGAAGGTAGCATTCTGCTTTTCCATGGGGGTCACACTTTTTTTTTTTAAATCTGGCATTTGTAACCAACCCTCCACATGTGGCCCTTACTTCTTTGTCGCAGCTCTAGACACTCAGAGCCAAATCAGGACTTGCCCACTACATCCCTGGCTCCAAAGTACTCATGCTACTCACTCTACTTAAATGCTTCTCTATCTAATCTGCCTCATAGTGTCCATCTTTAAAACTCATTTTGAAGGTCCCCTCTTCCATGAAGCCTGACCTCCCTAGCAGAAATAATTCTCACCTTCCTCTGGGTCACTTCAACTCTAGTTTTCCACCAAAGTTGACTCCATTTACTGCCTTGTTTTTCAGTTATTTCCATGTAAGTCTTTAGGGCCCTAGTGTTTGAACTTATATAGCATAGACACCTTTGGCATCTTCGCCCCTTGATACCTAGGGCAGTGCCTGGTCCACACCAGGGACTCAAGACACACTGCTTGAGTTAAAGGAGACACAGACCAGTGTCCTGCCTTTTTTTGGAATTTCTCCTTGATTCCAGGTCTCTCAAGTCATAGAGGCCATAACAATAATGAAAGGAGGTGAAGGCCTACTCAGGGCAAGCCACACCACACCCACATGGTGACATCAAGGACAGCTAGAGGGAGTGTAACTACCAATTTCCATCAACAGCTGTGTGGTTTGGTTTGGTTTGGTTTTTAAACTTTTTAACTGCCTTTGGACCTGTTCTTGCTTTCATCAGCCAGGTATCCAGAGACAATTAGAAGTTAAGCTTTTACAAGAACACTGGTTTGATTTTTCTTTTCTTCCCACTACATACCTGAAAACAAAGGGCTGTCAATCCCCTCTCTTCAAAACAGTAACCAGCAGAGGGAGGGAGGAGGGGAAAGAGATCCATCTTGCTTATGTCTTTTCTCCATTGTGAGTTAGCAGCTGAATGATTTTGTTTCAGAAATCAGTGCCCATCCCGATCTCACTTACCCTCCCCAGAGCTGAGCCTCTGAATCAGAATTGTATATACATGTTCCCGTGGTTCCTTCACTTGCCTTCTCTCTTCCTCCTTCCTTTGCCTATCCAAAACATACAGGGGCAGAGTTCTACACGCTTAGAAAACTTCTAATGTTAAAAAGAGCCGCCTTCTTAGGTAAAGTGGTTATCATTTGTATGCTTCAGTTCCATCAGCATTCAAGACATTTTCAACAGCCACTTCCTCAAAAAACCTGTTATCCCACCCTTAGCAGCCCATTTCCTTTCTTACAACTACACCCTTTCCAGGTGATCCTTGGAAAACCCAAGGCTTATAGAGTAAATTTGTCAGTCATTAACATCCTAGAGTGAATTTCTGTTGTGTGAAAATCTTTCCTTCCTTCCCAACTTGAGAATATCTTAGGGATTGTATCCCAATGTAAGGCAATAAATTATAAGGTATGGGACAGTGCCTCTCTGCCTTTTCTTAACTTGACCTCTTGTGCTACATGTAAGAATCTCACACTTTCTATAATGTTTGAAAATCTAAAAAAAAAATTATTTTCCAAATACAAAATTATATTATGATATTAAATATGCTTTTTTCCCCCAACTGAAACACTTCCCCATGCTGAGATTCTGATGGTGCTGTTGAAGTGGGCAATAGTAACATTGCATCAGGGAAGATCTTCAGGGAAGGGAATTGTCCAGTCCAGATGTGTTAGTGCTGGAGAGGGAAGAGTCACAAAAGAGTGGGAGCCTAGGAACAAGGGCAAGGGCAGCAGAAGTTGGAAGAAACCTTCACCAAATATAAGCTTTGCCTGAGAATTTCAGTAAGAAGAGACCCTGCTTGATACCAGTATAGAATGTTAGGGAGGAATATATGGTTATAATTACCAAGGAAATGCTTTCCCTGTGTGGTCAGAGTATAAACACCAAGGTGATGAAACAAAATATAACACAGCATCCCTCCCCAGAATAACAATAACAAAAATATCCCCATAAAACTTTGGGCAGTTCTTGGCACTGTTTTCAAAGCTCTTTTACTAAGACATGTCCAGGTTTCGTGGAGCCTCAATCTTACATAATTTCAGAATGAAACTGAATATTATTCAGGATGAGAAAAGAAACCAAAACAAATTGCATATTTTGAAAAGCCAACAATTAGTACAAACATCACAAAATCCAGGTAAATTACCTAAATTTTCTTATTCATTAACTACTATTACACTTCCATGATACTTGTTTACCTACACTTTTTGGCTGCATACTCTTTGATCATCTTTTAATATGACAATGATTCTATAATGTCATTATCTCTAGAAAGAATAGAGCAATATTCTGTCTTTCCTCTAGGATAACTATAGTCAAAATGTGTTTCAGATTATTGATAAATTAGTAATGTTGTCTCATGTTCACAACTGATTACTGGTGATATGAAAATTGTTAGAGTTGTAAAATTTGGGAAAACCTTTATCAGGCTTTTTTCATAGTATTTCTGGGCATTTCAGGTTTCCTTGTACAGTGAATAATCTAAATAGTCTTTGAGTTGACACTCATGAACCAACTTGTCATTGATGTCTTGGTAATAGTGAAATATTCTGTGTAAGTCTTTAGGGCGCTAGTGTGTGAGCTTCTATAGAGCAGGCACCTCTGGCATCTTTGCCCCTTGATGACTAGAATAGTGTTTGATCCACACCAGGGATTCAAGACACATTGCTTGAGTTAAAGGAGACACAGACCTGTGTCCTGCCTTTTGTTGGAATTTGTCCTTGGTTCCATGTCTCTCAAGTTGCAGAGACCATTAACATCAGTGGAATGAGCTAGGGGCCCACTCAGAACAAGCCAAGCCACACCCATTTGGTGACATTGGGCATTACACTTCCAGTAATAATGCTAGGTAAATCTGCACCATAAGGCAAGACTGTACCTGAAAGCCACTTCTATACCAGAATCACTAGCAATAATCTAACTAGACAGTGAAAGAACTCCATATGAGCCACATAACCATGTCCCCCTTAAATCTAAACTAAATTTATCCCAGCCAACTTCCCTTTCATTAGAACTCAAACAAAAAACTGTGGCCACTCCAATTTCACCCTATTCTGTGCCACACAGAGAGTTGGAAAGGAAAGAGGCAATAGTCTCAACTGATTGTAGCTTTGTGATTCTGAGCAGAACATAAGGGACTGGAACTAGTCTAAGGCATGGTCTGCGCAGCACTAAGGGAAGCAGCCTCATTCCTTCCTTCTGTCACTCAAGAACCCATTTTTGCCAGTCCCTACTCTCTCCAGGACTCCCTACTAAGAATCAGCACCAAGGAGATGAGTATGTCATATCTATATTTACTTGCTCCCATTCACAACAAAGTGAGGAAGACAAACACACATGCATAAATCACAAGACAGCCTGATGAGGGCTCTTCATGATAAACTGAGTGTTCTTGGAGAGCCATGAAGGCCTCACAGAGGACTCATTGAGACTCACAGTGTGCAGAGCTAAGCCATCTCGATTCTTGAATCCAAGACACCACTTTGCCCTTGAAGGCTGTGCCTAAAGGGTTTGCAATATTGAGGCATGGACACAAAGCCTAGGCCTGTCCTTTGTAAGTAAGGCACCAGTGCTGATCTACATAGACTGACTCAGTGCTATTATTTTGGGTTATTGGCCGCTAAGCACCCACCCTGCCAATGGCCCTGGACTGGAATAGCAGTGACCTCAGCCTTTCTCCAAAGCTCATATCCATATACTCATTTGGACTATACCTTCAGTGACTTGGTCCCCCCATTCGTGCCCTTCTCCTTTCCCCCAGCATAGATATTATATTAATCAACTTAAAGCAGATGTTCTTAGGAAAGAAGTAGGTCATGTCTGAAGACCCAAATCCCATCCAGTCTTTTCACAAAATCTTGACTAAAAAACTGGAATTGATATTGCAATAATTAAGAGCCAAATATGACTACCACTGGTGGCAGATAACATTTCACTTTCATTAAGCAATATAAAATAGACGTGAGAATTCCCGGCTGCCACCCTGACATACCAGGCTTTGCGGAATGAATCTTAAATTGCACTATGTCAGTCAGAGCTCAGGAGTTATCAGCATCATTTAATTAACTTTTTTTTTTTTTAACGAAAACTAACACGTTGGAATAAAATATAAAAATGTAATCCCTGTGCAAACCCACTACTAATCATGGCCCCTGGCAGAGGCCCGGGCTGCACCTAAGCAGGAATCAGGGCATTAAACCCTCTTTGTCCCTTCCCTGAAGCCTCCTCCCTCAGCCAGAAGGAAAGAAGGCTTAGAGACTCCTTCCACTGTGGCCTTAGAAGCCTCAGGAATGAGAAGCAGTTCTCTTTATCGAGGCCTTAGCCTCTCTCCTCTTTGCCCTGATGTTACTAACTTTTAGCCACTTTCCTGTTGAAATTGACATGTATTTTTGTTAAAAAAAAAAAAAGACAGCAAAACTTTTACCACTTTTCCAAAAAGAGGAATGGTAACTGGAGTCTTTGGCTCCAATTATGAGAAGATGCCAATACCCATGAATTTCATGTATGGGTGTTATCTGTAAGAGAGAATGCATAGTTGGGGTCCACACAGGCAAAATGAGATAGGGAGAAGGAAGGTGTCACGGAGCAGGGCTAGGAAATGGTTGAGACTCTCAGGGTTCAACAGAATGATTGCCAAACTGCAGATGGATTTGGGAAGAGGCTTTCTTGGGTGGTACGGACTCTACCCTGGAATGCACTCTACCCTTGTAATGGCAAATAGATGGCACAGGTGGCACGAGGCTCCCTCCCACACCCAGGGCAGACATTACAAATGAGTCACAGCACTCTTTACAGCTGATCTTGCATTTGGCTTCAGAATCCTACTCCCGCCCTCCTGGCAGCCATTACTAATCAATAGCTATTGGCACTCAAGCGGTAACCTATTTGCCATCCTTTCATTAGCCAGAAGACCTGTTCCACCTGTTGCCACCTGTGTCATGTGACAGCCACATCGCTGGTCAGAGAATTCAAGCATTCTTGTCTAGATTTTTCAATGGCCAGGAGGAGTCCAAAATCAGGGGTACTTCCCAAGTAATTGAGCCAGGAGCTGTCAGCTAGAAGGGGAAAAAAAAGGAAAAGACTGCCTTTTTGGGGCCCCATTATACAAGAAATGAAAATGTTGTGTTTGCTTTATCATCAATTCTTCAGCTAACTGTTTGTTCTTTTTCCTTCTGTTTTCTTTCTATAAAGAAATAAAGAGTTTAAACATAGGTAAGATGAAGAACTCTTTCCCATATAATTTGATATGGTTCGTTTGCTTCCTTGTGTTTGCTTTTTGTTTTGTGCTTCTTGTGTAATGTTGTGTATTTTTATGTACCAAATATAGTAACTTTTTTATGTGCTAATTGTGTGTTGTGGATATGATAAGCTTTAGCAATTATGAAATGCAGTCAAAAAGCAACCAAATAAGCTGACAGTAATTAGAATTTCCGGGAGATGCAAGTGCAAGATAATGAACCCTCAGCGAACTTTTATCCCGACTGCTCAGTGCGGCCCATAATTGGGCTAAAGAGTTGAGGCAAACTTCTGGCTTTTGTAAATGCTGGACTGGGTTCACAAAAGCTTTAATGAACTGGAAACGGGTCAAAAACTCATTTTCAACTCATTAATGATTTTTCCCCTATATATATGGTCATTTTTAAAAAAAAAACAAGTTAACTGACAATCTGCTGGTCAGAACGAATCCAACAGTCAGGTGCATTGGGAATTTTCATGGAGTTAAATCACTTTTAAGTAGTAGGAAGGGTGTAGACCAAGTAGTTTTTGTCTAAATAGCCTTTGTCATTCAACTGCTCCAGGTTATCATTTAAAACCATATTGGTAAAATTCACATATATAGTGCACAACACACATATGTGTGCATATGGCTCTGGGGAGCTTCCCATTACAAAGTTAGGAAAATGCCAGGTTGCCCCAGGTTGCACTGAAATGGAAGAAAAGTGACCTTTTTTATTTGGAAGAAGAGAGAAAAGCAAAACGATGTATTTTAATACTTAAGGGAATGCTGCTTCTTCTTGAAATGAAACATGGAAGGGGCTTCTTCCTGATGTTACATGAGAATTAGACATAGAGTGGAATCAAGTTGTACAAGATCATCAAAGTCAGTAGAAAAGCCATGCATATGAGCCCTTGGCCTCCTCCTCCATATTCCCAAACTGGCTGCTTACAGGCTCCCCAACTGGGACAAGTAAAAAAAAAAAAAAAAAAGCAACAGTGCCCTGGAACGCCACCCCCCATTCAAATTCACATACCCCATTTGACCTTCACCACATTCACAGATGTGGAAGCATGGCTGTCCATCTACCCAAGAGTCTCTGTAAGAATCTTGGTTGGGATGGGTATGACACCATGGGATAAAATGAGACCCCAGCAATAACTGACCCCACACCCTCACACATCTGCTCTTCTGCCAGAGTTTTTGAAAAGCCTCTTTGAATCGGGCTCCCTAGAAAGTCCAGAATTAATTATCTTGCTCATAGATAGGCACAGATGTGCAGTGCCCTGATCCTTCTGTTGATCACGCCAGCTACTATTCATTCAGTAACAAAGTACAGCATCTAATTAAAAAATGGCATGAAGTTTTCCTTTCTGCCCTAATTTGTTTTGCATATGTGGATATTCTCTAAAGACTTAAGAGCCAAAAAAAAGAAGAAGAAGAAGAAGGAAGGAAGTGAAGGAAAGAAAAGGAACCCTGGTGGCCTACTCTTTTAAACTAGCGATCTAGGCTGGAATTTTAGAAAGACCTTGACTTCTAGTTCAGTTATGTGTCTTAATAGCAACCTGAGGAGAAGCTGGAATTAAAGATGGTCTCGATTCACAAATTGTTCCTAAAAATAACTTCCTAGTTCTTTTCTTCCTTAAATCGAGGAAGGACCCAAATGGGGGTGTCTTAATTAGTAATTTACCAGCTAATGTCTATAGGACAAATGCATCCAACACTATCATCACCCTCACCTTGCCTTCACCTCTCCCATCCTTTTCCTTCCCATAATTCCAAACTACAATGGAAAAATAACTGAAAAACAAAAGGCCTGTGCTCATTTTTGGCATGCGACATCAAAACCTTATCTACCACACTAGGACAGAGAGGCATTCACTACAGGTATCCTAGAGGTAGTGACTTTAATAACCAGTATAGAAATAGCATGAGCACCTATTCTGGTCTCAACCTCCAACAAGTGACAGACACTACAAAGGGAAGAAACTGTAAGGTTTTGAGCCAAAAGGGACATGAACAATGATCTGATTTCTTCATTATCCAAATAAGCAATCTAGGACCCAACATGGCCAAGAGACTTACTTCAGGTCACCAGCTAGGTCAGCATTGAGTTTAGAGTTTCCTCTGTCTTAGTCCTGTCCTAATCAGCAACATATAGGGCAGCTAGATACATGGCAGAGAAAGAGGTCCAGGTCTCTGAGGCCTAGTGCCTTCCTATTATATTTCTCACACACGAGGGTATTTCTCTCCTAGTGTAGCTTAGGGCCTTGGCAGATCTTGGTCCATACCTGTATCCTCACCCAAAATATGAAAACTATATCTCCTCTCTCAGTAATCCAGATTCTGGGCGTGATATCAGCAAGACATCAAATTTCTTCAAAAAAAAAAAAAAAGCCAACTTTATTCATATCCACACTAAAGAATAGTAGGTAAGATCTGAGGCTGAGGACTAGGGATCGCTCTGGGACCCTCCCATCACAAAGTTAGGAAAACTCTACGTTGCCCCAGTCTTCATGATCTAGTACCCTGGAGGCATTGAGGAAGCATGGACTAAAAAGAAAACCTTGTCTCATGGAAGTGTTCCTCAATCCCACTTGAGAAACAGATCAAACCCATAGGGGGAAGTAAAGAAGGCTGATACACACAAAACACAAACACAAAAGCAGGACCAGAGTGGGATCTTTCGTACCAGCTGAATGAAGCAGTGACATTTTAGTACGATGGGAAACGATGAACTCTGCATAGCATGAGGAGTTTAGGTCCAATTAGAAGTCAGTAGCTAAGAGCCATGATGTGTTAGAACACTAAGCTGTTATGTTAGATTCTTTCCAGTTCAATAAAGTGGAAAGACACTGGAAATGGCTAGAGTCTTGCTAAGATTTTTGTCATCTCTTTGATCCAGTAGACCAGCTGCTTAGCCCCCTTCTCATTTCTCTTTGTGCTTCTTCTAAAGCAACAACCCAGCACACAAGTACTATTTGGCAGTAGACCCTGTGTCCGGCTCTCTCTACGTGTCTGACACCAACAGTCGGCGAATCTACCGAGTCAAGTCTCTAAGCGGAGCTAAAGACCTGGCTGGGAATTCAGAAGTGGTGGCAGGGACTGGAGAGCAATGCTTGCCCTTCGATGAAGCCCGCTGTGGAGATGGAGGGAAGGCCGTGGATGCCACCCTGATGAGCCCTCGAGGTAAAGGCTCCCAAGGAAGAAAGCCCGTCCCCCAGAATAAGCTTGCCACAAGCTTGGCTTTCTTCTTAACTGCAAGTGAACTAAGCCCAGGCAGTCCCAAATACAGCTTTCCCTACAGTAATTTCACTCTGATAGGTTGCTTTGATGTGTGGGTATTTAAAAAAAAAAAAATGTGTTTATCTGAAGTAAACTTCATCACCCACATAGGCTACAAATGGAAAGTGGGGTGGTTTGCTCATGGAGATTTCTGACTGCTGCCAGTCACACGGAGTCAGGGGGAAACATTAGCTCCATGAGCCAGGGGCCAGCTGGAGACAGAGCCCAGTGAGGGCCTCCAGCCACTCCCAGATGTTCATGTTCGACAGTAGCATGCGTAGTCTTAAGCACAGGGCCTGACATTTTTTAAGAGCCCAATAAATGGTGGCAGTTAAGAATGGGTATAATTTCCAAGGGCCTGGGATTGGCCGGCGAGGGGGGAGGGGGGTTGTTCTTAGAATCAATGGTTCTAACTACTTCAAATAGAGATCAATGGATCTCTATTTGAAAAGGACCAGGGATACTTAAGGTTAAGGACTGATTGGTCCTTCGAAGGCCCAATTCCTATTAGCATTCTTAGCTACCACTGGCAGCGTGGATTAAGGATGAGGAGCCTTGGGCTTGGGCCCTAGGGTGAAGGTGCCAAAGAAATAGAAGCCACCGTGTGCATCCTACCAGGAGAGTGCTAGGACAGGTGTTCCCGCAGGGCATACTGAGTAGAGTCAAGGCCTAATTGGGACTGTTTCCTGGAGGATATATTTTGAATTGGGAGTCTGTGACAGCAAGAATCACTGTTTCTCAACCTCAGTGTTGTAATTAGTTGTGAAGGGTATTCAAGTAATTTACTACCAATAATTTTTCAAGCAATGAACTTGGGAAATAACTTACTTTCTGAAGAGAGCAGATGCCAAGTTATTTCCCCATTCATTCATTTGCAGCCTTGGTTCATTTGCAGCCCAAAGTTCACTCTTCAGTTGGGTGGTGATACAGCCAGCACCCCAGGAACTATGCAGGTCTCAGCACAGTGCTCATGGGAAAGGGTGTTACCTTTAAAGGTTGACAGCCACTGCTCTAAGCCTGTGAATCCATCCAGGAAGGTCCCTGGTCCAAGAAGGTAATGCCCAATAGGGCATCCCCACCTCCACCCCCACAAGCCCTACTCCTTGCCAAGAGACACACTCCCACTGTTTGTCTTGATCAGGTATTGCAGTAGACAAGAACGGGCTCATGTACTTTGTTGATGCCACCATGATCCGGAAGGTTGACCAGAATGGAATCATCTCTACCTTGCTGGGCTCCAATGACCTCACTGCTGTCCGGCCACTGAGCTGTGACTCCAGCATGGATGTGGCCCAGGTGGGACTTTCTTATTTCTCATCACTATGCTACACCTGGCTCTCAGCCTGAAGTTCTCACCTGCAGCCTGTTTGGGTTGAAAGTGGAGTGGGAGGAAGAGATATAGATACAGATTACAGGTTTGTTTGTAGAAGGCTTGAGATGAACTAGACAGCAAGATGGAATGGGAAATGTCAGATAGGAATGAGAGCGAGCACAAGAGAGAAAGGAAAGCGGGGGGGGGGGGGGGGGGGGTCGGGGGGAGTTCTGCTCAGAAAGTGGAGCTGGTGACACACTCCAGCCATGGCAGATTACAGGGTAGGAGTTACTGTGTAATTACCTCTCTTCTCCATCATTATTGTAGGTTTGAGAATGTACTATACAGTGTTATATATCAATCAGAACTTCCCTGTTAATCTGAAATGATTGCATCCTCACTATATAAACCTTTACTTTGTGCAGTAGTAAACTAGAGCAAAGCCATCTACAAGATTCCCCCAAGTGATATTCCGTTAGTATGGGCTCTTATGGGGGCAGAGAACAGGGGCTCACTCAAATGTACAGCAGGAGAAACTGGACTTTATTATATGGATCCTCAAACATCCCAAAATATATGTTTGCCCTTCCTATAAGGGCCTTTTCAACCTTCAGTCAACCTCATTAATTTCAGCTCAAATTCCACAACATACTGACAATTTGCCACCAAGATGGTCGCTTCAATTTTGCAGAGAAGGCCCAGTTCATTTCTTCAAGCAAATGCTCAAGTTGTAGTTCACTAGCCGGCCTGTGCATTGGCGACCCTTGGGTCCAAACAACATGGCTCTTTTTGTGTATTAGATAAAAGTGCTGCCTCTAAATGAACATAGCCTCCTTAGGCCCATGGCTTGATGAGCAGAGGACGGGATGGATTACACTAGCCCCTTGTGTGGTGAATTACCTGTACAACTGTATATGATGACTCTGACCTTGGTCCAATCTTCTGGGACTGAGAAGAGCATCATGGGTAGAGCTGGTGACCTACTCTAGCCACAGTAGATGATATCACAGGAGGTGTTTGTTACATGGCCTCTTCTTCATCGTGTCCACTTGACATGGGCAGTGGGCAAGTGGTTTGGTGATGGGCACTTCTCATACATTATGGGTAAAAAAGTAAGTCTTTTTTCCCCCGCTGCGTAAAACCAATATATGTGCCTCACAGTTAAACACTGGGCATGTTAGAGGCTGCTCCTTAATTTGATGCCATGTCATCCACAGGTTCGCCTGGAGTGGCCAACAGACCTCGCTGTCAACCCCATGGACAATTCCCTGTATGTTCTCGAGAACAACGTCATCCTTCGAATCACTGAGAATCACCAAGTCAGCATCATCGCGGGACGCCCCATGCACTGCCAGGTTCCTGGGATTGACTATTCACTCAGCAAACTAGCCATTCATTCTGCGCTGGAGTCGGCCAGTGCCATTGCCATTTCCCACACCGGGGTCCTCTATATCACTGAGACAGATGAGAAGAAGATTAACCGTCTACGCCAGGTCACAACCAACGGGGAGATCTGCCTTCTAGCTGGGGCAGCCTCAGACTGTGACTGCAAAAACGATGTCAATTGCAACTGCTACTCGGGAGATGATGCCTATGCAACCGATGCCATCTTGAATTCCCCATCATCCTTAGCTGTAGCTCCAGATGGTACCATTTACATCGCAGACCTTGGAAATATTCGGATTAGGGCAGTCAGCAAAAACAAGCCCCTTCTTAATGCTTTCAACCAGTATGAGGCTGCATCCCCTGGAGAACAGGAGCTGTATGTTTTCAACGCCGATGGCATCCACCAGTACACTGTGAGCCTGGTGACTGGGGAGTACTTGTACAATTTCACTTATAGTGCCGACAATGATGTCACTGAATTGATTGACAATAACGGCAATTCCCTGAAGATCCGTCGGGACAGTAGTGGCATGCCCCGCCACCTGCTCATGCCTGACAACCAGATCATCACCCTCACAGTGGGCACCAACGGAGGTCTCAAAGTCGTGTCCACGCAGAATCTAGAGCTTGGCCTCATGACCTATGATGGGAACACTGGCCTCCTAGCCACCAAGAGTGATGAAACAGGATGGACAACTTTCTATGAGTAAGTACATTTGTTAAGTATTTCTCGACAGCACCCTACCCTAGCCAGCAGCAGGATTGGCTATCCACATAGCTTTTAATATTGTTTAGTCACATTGTCTTCCTGACTTTAATGTCAACTTGTGGCCTCAAGATACTCATGTCCCCTCTCCTTGACTTCTAAGTGATTTGCACTGTTGGGTCTATGATATTGAACATCCTCCCTACAAGGGCTGTCCGATTTCTTTTGCCCGCTTGCCCTTCCAGCTTCAGGATATTGGACATGCACAGCACCTGGGAGAGCAAGTGCTCATTAACTTTGCTGATTATTCATGTTTGCCATGGGTGCGGAAATTAGAATCTAAAAGGCAAGATCCTGGTGGGACTCCCGTAATTTGCCAGTAGGTCCAGCAACACACTTGATTGCACAGACAGGTAGATAAACTCTGAATTTCCTCCTTAGCAGAAGCAGATCAATACAGATAAAGTGCTAGGTATATTAAAAGATGTGAGAGCTGGTCATATTTCCCCTAACAATTATCTCATACTTAATAGTCCTGCCGTTTGTTGTGCCAAAAAAGCTGTATTCCGTCACTCCTGCGGGCAGTGCTTGGTCACACTGCCTACTGCTGCAGGTATTAACCAGTGGGATGCTGGCTGGGGAAAATTGTTAAGGCGTGATTTCGCCAGGCCCTGCCGAGACTGGGATGGAATTTGCAAGGATCTGGCTCTCCGCAATGGTGAAGGATCTGGTTAAGCTCGCATTTGGAGTCCTTGCTTTCTGTCGAGGTGTTGCTGCTGGCTGAGAACTTAGTAAGTTGGGGAGGGTTGTTGCAGAGGGAATGGGGAACAAGAGAGAGAACAGAAGACCCCATTGTTGATCACTCCTAAGTCCAGGAATCTTCATTTCCAGTTGGTAGGCAAATGGGTTTGGGAGAATGGAAAGGAAGCTGTTGCCACCTGCTGGAAATTTCCTGCATTGCAGAATTGCTTTCCCTTGCTCTCTTTCCCTTTGGGCCAAGCTGTCCTCCTCGAATTTCGGAAGCATCCTAGCATCCTTCAGGGCACTGGGACTTGATCAAACTTTACCAGCCAGTGACCCTGCCTCTGTAGGCACCATCTGAGTGCCATCTTTAGCTCTCACACCAACTTAGGCTAAAACTCTACCATAACCCAAACACCTATAAGATTTTCACCTTCCCTTCTAGCAGTCCCACCTAAGGACCCAGTGCATTTCAGAGATAATTTGTTGGCTGACATGACTGAGGACAAAACAATGTCACTCGCAGGAGGCCATTCTGAATTAGGCCTGACTTAGAGACCATAATAAAGAAGTTCGGACTTAGGTGCACCTTTAGACGCTAGCTCTAACTGGGGGAGTATTTTCCAGGAGGGGTCCCTAGTTGAATAAAAATATGGGCAGGATGCTTTAAAAAAAAAAAAAAAGTTCACAAGTTACATGGAAACTGTGTGATTGTTTTCTCTCTTGAAGAGCTGCTTTTTGAATATGTGGATAAATCCAATTGTCACAAATTCTCAATTGTAGGAGTTCAAATGTGTTAGGTTTTCTCGTTGCTCCTAAAAAGATGGTGAATTCCTTTTGCTTTGTAGTACTTTCACACACGGTCAGCTGGGGAAGAACAGCCTGTGTCCCTGAAAGACCCGGGACTTTACTTAAAATTACAACCACCCCTATACACGTGCATTCTCTCTCTCTCCCTCCTTTATTTTAATCCTTACCACTTGTTACCATCTGACATACTCTATATTTTAAATCATGGTTTATTTTTGCCCTGTCCATCATGTGTACATCATGGAGGCAGGGATTTTCATCCATTTTGTTCTTAGTCCTGTCCCCAGTGTCTTGAACAATGACTGGCATGCAGTAGGCACTCAGTAAATACTTGCTGAATAAATGAGTCAAAAGCGCCCCTTTAGCTCCACACAGGCCAAAGCTGCAGTGGTTCCACTGAGTGGACTTGAGATCCCATTACTGGAACTCATAGCTCCTCGCAACTATGTGTAGACTTATTTGCAAAGAGACCTGAATCTGAAGATACTCACTCCATGGGCAAGTAAGTACAGCTGTAGGAAACTCACTCTTCTTTGACAGTTAAAGAGAACATAACCTGTTTTTCTTCCCATGGCCCCTGAGATCCTGGCCTCAACCCCAATCCTCTGTTCCCCAAAAGTAGAATCTCCAGTTTCTACTACTGTTCTCATAAGGAAGCACAGCACCTGGAACCACCATACGTGTCCAGGTGCGTTGGAATTAAATCTTTGCCTGGATCCCAGGTCATGGAACTCCTCATACGGTCCCTGCTTGGCTGCAGGAGTTGAGGATATTGTCTGGTACCGAGTACTCCCTTAGGCGCCCCACACGCAAACACTTAGAACTGTTTTCCTTCTTTTTTTTTATTATGTTATGTTAGTCACCATACAATACATCATTAGTTTTCTGATGTAGTGTTCTACAATTCATTGTTTTCGTATAACACCCAGTGCTCCATGCA